CATGATCACTCCTAACACTAGTTATAGAGTAACCTTTTTCATTTTGGATTACTTTTGAAAACATGATGAATTGTTCTAATGCTTCGTCTTTAGTACTTAAAAATAGAACCCAAGTATATCTAGAATAGTCATCTACCAAGACAAATGCATATTGTTTTCTACCCAAGCTAGTAGTTCTAGTTGGCCTAAAAAGATCTAAATGGATCAATTGTAAAACTCTACTAGTTTATACATCATTAATGGATTTAAAAGAAACTCGCTTTTGTTTTCCTTTAGCACAAGCATCACAGATTTTATCATTATCAAATTTAAGCTTAGGCAACCCTCTTACTAGGTCTCCTTGAATTAACAGTTGCAAAACACTCATACTAGCATGTCCTAGTCTCCTATGCCATAACCAACTATCATGTTCATCCTTAGCAACTAGGCATAAATTAGTCATATCAAAAGAATCTAAATGCACCATGTATATGTTTCCTATTCTATGACCAACAAGCATAATCCGATTAGATGCAATGTCAATGACTTTACAACCATTAATTTCAAATAAGACATTGAATCCTTTATCGCATAATTAACTAATACTCAATAGATTATGCTTTAATCCATTCACATATAAAACATTTTTAATTTGTATGGAAGAGGTATTACCTATTGTACCAATACCTTCAATGTGACCTTTTGAATTGTCTCCAAAAGTCACTTCTCCTCCATTTTTGGCGTTAAGCTCAATGAATCGGCTTTTGTCTCCGGTCATGTATCTTGAGCATCCACTATCAAGGTACCATGAATTTGAATTTGTTTCCCGTGCCTTGTAGCAATGCTCCTTTCCCTACAAACATAGATTAATTTTTTGATTTTTGGTACCCAAATTCTTTTGGGTCCATATTCATTAGTTTCCAAAATCCTAGTCCCCTTAGGTATCCATTTGTGTAGGATATTTTTATCTTTAGTAGTAATGAGTTCTTTAGGAACCCACATACTTCTAACGATTTTTCCATTAGAGGTTCTTTGGGGACCTCTATGATTTTAGTTACTAAAACTTTTTCTAACAAAGTTGGATTTTGAATTTCCACCTTTTTCAAAATGTTTTGTTCCAACTTTATCAAAAGAAGTTTTAATATCATCAATTTTCTTTTGATGATCATCATTGATCTTTGAAAGTAAATTTTGCAAATCTAAATTTTTCTTTTCAAACTCTTCTAGTTTGATTTGCAAATATTTGATTTTACTTTCAAGATCGTTGTTGGTTTTGGATATGAGTTTGTTTTCATTTTTCAATTTTGAAACATCATTTTATATTTTAAAAATAATTTCTCATAATCCGAAGCCAACCCATTATATTCCTCTAATAACTCATCATAGGATAAATCATCAAAATTGGATGAGTTAGAGGTTACCTTAGAATCTTCCCCAAATGCCATCAAGCACAAGTTAGCTACTTCTTGTTCCTCTTCATCAGAATTTTCTTCATCGCTCCATGTAGCCACATGAGCCCTGTGCTTATTCTTTGATTGACCCTTTTTCTTCAATTGTGGGCAATCATATTTGACATGCCCTGGCTTTTTACATTCGTAGCAAATGATTGGGTCTTTCTCTTTCGGTTCATTTTTGAGGCCTTCATTTCGTTTGAATTTTCTTCCTCGATAAGGTCTCATCATTTTTCTGAACCGTTTGGCAAACAATGCCATTTCCTCGTCATCGTCATCGTCATTCGAATCACTCTCATCTTTTGTGGATTTGAGAGCAACTCCAATGTTTTTCTTCTTCTCCTTCTCCTTTGGTGTCTCGTCAATCTTGTCGAGGTCTACCTCATCTTCGAGCATCATTTCATGAGTAAGGAGTGACCCAATTAGCTCTTCAAGAGTTAAGGATGTTAAGTCCTTAGACTCAATGATTGTCGTCTTCTTTGATTGCCACGATTTTAGGAGGGAGTAGACTAACTTCCTCACAAGCTTTTCATTTGAAATGATCTCTCCATATGATTTGAGACCATTGACAATCGTTGAAAATCTATCCGTTATAGCTTTGATATCTTCATTTGGTTTCATCCTGAAATTTTCATAGCTATGCGTTAGAATACTAATTTTATATTTCTTTACCTCATCGGTACCTTCATGAGTGACTTGAAGTTTGTCCCATATTTCTTTGGCGGTTGTACACGATGAAAATCTTCCGTATTCATCTGGTCCAAGAGCACAAAAAATGATATGAATGGCTTTGGAGTTGAGCTGGAACATTCTTGTCTCTCCTTCACTCCACAACCTTGGATGAGTGAGAGGTTTGATGTATCCTTCTTCTACAACATTCCATGCTCCCATGTCACTTGCTTGAATAAAGTACATCATTCTATTCTTCCAATAGGCATAGTTAGCTCCATTGAAGAAAGGAGGCTTGTTGACGGACATCGAATCGAGACCAGAGTCGAAGTTTAAAGCGGAGGCCATTGATGACTTTGATTATCGATATAACTCTTTCCGAATCGACTCAAGAGGCGATTAAACCTTCAAATGAGTTAGGCTCTGATGCCAATTTTTGAGTTAATCGATTGACTGAATCGGCCAAGAGGGGGTGAATTGGCAATAAAATTTTGTGAAAGCTTTTGCAGAAACTTGAAAGAAATTGCATAGCGATTTAGAGTGGTTCGACTTTATCAACCAAAGTCTACGTCCACTACCTTAACTATCCACACTAAGGATTTTCTAACAAATTCACTAATTTGTTCTTTCTTTTGAGGCCAAAGAGATAACCTTACAACTCCCTCAAGAATATACCCAATTCTTGAGAACACTCTTTTCTCAAAGAGAAATACAAATTTGCAAACTTACAAGAAAAACCTCACAAGGCAAATATGTTTGCACAATTCTAGAACAAAGAAAGAACACTCAAGAATAAATACAATTGAGCACAATAAGTGTTCTTGAAAGCAAAATGAATATTGAATGAAAAATAGGCTTGAAATGCTCAAACTTGAGGTTTGATGCTTTCTCTTTGATTCTCTCTTGATTCTAATTGCTTGATGTTTCTTGTTGTTGATCAATGGCTTCTAAGCTTTCTTAAATACACCTGAATCACTTCTGAACGTTGGGGATGATTAGAGAAAATAATATAGCCGTTTTAGTGTGAAAACAATTAATAAAACAGTTTGGAGCGTGGGGAATCGGTACCCCCTATGGGGAATCGGTTCCCTAAGTGTAAAATTCAAATATTTTGACCATTATACAAGGGGGAATCGGTACCCCCTGGGGGGAATCGGTTCCCTCTGAGCAATCTGGAATTTTTGGCTTTGAAATGGTTCGAAATACTTTGTAAAATTATTTTGAAATTGTTTTAAGATTAAAACTTAATTTTACACTTTGAGTAAGGATTAAAAATGATCTTTTAAAGATTTGGAGTAATGTTTTGATATTCGAATAATTCTATCGAATATACTTAGAAAACTATTTGGAAAATCTTAAAATTCATTTAACTTAATTTGTTATATCGAAATAAAAAAATGTTTTCAACAGTATTATGCTAAGTTACTTGTGGCACACATAAAAAATGAGTTGAAGATTGAAATAACACTCATGAAATTTATTGACAAAAGAGAAGTTTTATACATAGTCATGGAAATCGGAAAAAAAAACTCTGGAAACATATTAGCATATATCCTAATGAATTCTAGCACAATTATTCCTGCACCATTTGATTTGACACCCCGAGGTGGTCCTCTTGAAGTCCTTCATGAACTACTATTATCTAGAGGGGTTTACTTGTCAGATGCCTCCATATCAAAATGTATTTGACTGCCCTTTTCGGGTTTTCGACTCAAATCCTCATTTGGTCTCAAAGTGCCATTTACGGGTTTTCACCTCGAACCTCTCCTTTTTTCTTTTCTTTTCTTTTTCTTTTTTTCTTTTTCTTTTTCTTTTCAGGCATAGTATTTCTTGACAGAGTCTGAATTTATAGGGTTTTTTAGTACTCTTCCATCCATCTCCGCCAAAATTATCGCTCCCCCAGAGAAGGCCTTTTTGACAACATAGGCCCCTCCCAATTAGGCATCCATTTTCCGCGGAAATCCTTCTGGATAGGCAAAATCTTTTTCAATACTAGATCTCCCTCTTTGAACTCTCTTGGGCGTACCTTCTTGTTGTGGGCTCTCATCATCCTCTTTTGATACATTTGTCCATGACATATAGCATTCAACTTTTTCTCTTCAATAAGATTCAGTTGATCAAGGCGAGACTGGATCTATTCTGCTTTATCCAACTCACTTCTTTCAAGACTCGAAATGATGGAATTTCAACCTCAATAGGTACGACTGCCTCTGTTCCATATACCAGAGAGAAAGGCGTTGCCCCTGTCGATGTCCATGGTCGTTCTATACCATAAAGGGTAAAAGGTAATTTCTCGTGCCAATCTCTATAAGTTTCTGTAGTCTTCGTAATGATCCTTTTGATGTTCTTGTTTGCTGCCTCTACCGCCCCATTCATTTTCGGCCAATAAGTAACAGAGTTTGCATGCTTTATCTTGAACTGCGAACAAAGTTCATCCATCATCTTGTTTTTCAAATTAGTAGAATTGTTGTGATGATTCTTTCTGCAATCCATATCGACATATTATTTCCCTCTTTATGAATCTACAAACTGTAGATCTCGTGATACTGGAATAGGAAGCAACCTCTACCCATTTTATGAAGTAATCAATTTCTACTAAAATGAATCGATACCCATTTGAATCTTTTGGTGTGATTGCCCCAATAACGTCCAGACCCCACATAGAGAACGGCCAGGGTGAGCTCATAACGTGCAAAGGTGAAGGCGGTGCTGGATTTTATCTGCATATATCTGGCATTTATGGTATCTTCTCACGTAATTGACGTAATCCGTATGCATTATGGCCCAATAGTATCCATATCTCATAATTTTTCTGGCCATGGACAAACCATTCATATGTTCCGCATGTTCCGCCATGTACTTCTTCCATCACATTCTTTGCTTCTTTGGCATTTACACATCTCAGTAAAACTTGGTCACTGCCCTTCTATACAGGATTTCCCCATCAAGGAAGTACCTGGTTTTCATTCTTCTGATGGTTTTCTTGTCAATTTCAGATGCACCGGGAGGATAAGTCTGGTATCTCATATATTGTAGGATATCGTGGTACCATGGATGATAATCTATTTCTTCTTCTAGGTGATAGCAGTAGGTTGGGGTCTCGTATACTTGTATTGTTATGGGTATCATGTATGTTCTTTTATTAGCTTTAAACATTGCTGCTAAGGTAGCTAAAGCATCTTCCATTTGATTGTCCTCTCGAGGGAGATATCTGAATATGACATCCTCAAATTCTTTTAGTAATTCGAGGATTAAATTTCTGTATTCGACTAGCTTTAGTCTTTCGTTTCCCATTCTCCCCTTAATTGGTACACCATTAGCGAGGAATCTCCGTATACTTTGAGCGTTTTGATCTTTCTTTCAATGGCCGCTTTTAACCCATAATGCAAGCTTCGTATTCGGCTATGTTATTGGTGCAAAATAAATCTAATCTGCTTGTGAAAGGGTAATAAATCTCCTCTGGGGAAATCAACACTGCCCCAATTCCATTTCTTAAAGCGTTAGAGGCACCATCAAAGTACAAAGTCCAAGATTTGTTGCCTTCGGAGCTTTCCTCCTCGGTAGAAATGCACATTAAATCTTCATCTGGGAAATTGAAGTTCAGAGACTCATAATCCTCCGAGGCACGACTTGCAAGAAAGTCGGCTATAACGCTCCCTTTTATTGCCTTTTGACTCACATAGACAATATCAAACTTAGATAACAATATCTGCCATCTAGCCAATCTGTCAGTCAAAGCAGGGGACTCCATCAAAAATTTCAACGGATCTATCCTTGATATTAACCATGTAGTATGGTATAACATGTACTGTCTGAGTCTTAGAGTAGCCCAAACTAAGGCACCACACAACTTTTGAATTGGTGAGTATCGAGTCTCTTAATCGGTAAACTTCTTACTCAAGTAATAAATGGCTCTTTCTTTTCTTCCTGATTCATCATGCTACCCTAGTACACAACCCATTGAATTCTCGAAAACTGTTAAGTAGAGAATTAATGGTCTGCCAGGTACTGGCGATACCAATATGGGGGCATTGGACAGGTACCTTTTGATGACTTGCAAAGCCTCCTGGCATTCGTCATTCCATACCTCAGGATTATTCTTCTTGAGCAATTTAAATACCGGATCATATTTATCAGTAAGCTGAGAAATGAATCGCGATATATAATTTAACCTTCCTAGAAACCCTCGAACTTCTTTCTGTGTGCGTGGTACAGAAAGGTCTTGAATTGCCTTAACCTTATCCGGATCAATCTCGATTCCTTTCTGGCTTACCATAAAACCCAATAATTTTCCAGATTTTACTCCGAATGTGCATTTTGCTGGATTGAGTTTAATTGGTACTTCCTTAATCGTTGGAATAACTTTTTCAAATTTTTTACATGCTCTTTTTCAATTCTGGACTTGGCAATCATGTCATCCACGTATACTTCTATCTCTTTATGCATCATGTCATGGAAGAGAGTCACCATGGTTCTTTGATAGGTTGCCATAGCATTCTTCAACCCGAATGGCATTACTTTATAGAAGAAAGTTCCCCACATGGTTATAAACGTTGTTTTCTCTATGTCTTTAGGGTTCATTTTGATCTGATTATACCCTAAAAAGCTATCCATGAAGGAAAACCATGAATGCCCCGCAGTGTTATCCACCATTGTGTCTATATGAGGTAAGGGAAAATTGTCCTTTGGGCTAGCCTTGTTAAGGTCTCGATAATCTACGCACATGCGGACCTTCCCATCTTTCTTAGGTACAGGTACTATATTGGCTACCCACTCAGGATATTTTGACTCCTGAAGAAAACCTGCATCAATCTGTTTCGATACTTCTTCCTTAATCTTTAATAACATCTCTGGTTTCATCCTTCTGAGTTTTTGTTGGACGGGTTTGCATTCTGGTTTGATGGGCAACGTGTGGACTACTATATCAGTACTTAGCCCTAGCATATCTTGATACGACCAAGCAAAGACGTCTTTGAACTTCTAGAGCAAACTTATTCACTCTAACTTTATTTATGCGGATAGAGTAGTGTCAATCTTTATTTCTCTCTGCACCTCCACGGTCCCCAAGTCTATAAGTTCTACTTCTTCCTTGTGGGGTAGAATCTGTTTCTCATCTTTTCCACCAATCTTAATAGCTCACTAGGGACTTCACAATCTTCTTCATCTTCACATTCATTGACTTCTTCCAAACATGGTGATCGCTCGAAATTTGTCTTGCAACTGGCCTCAGGAACAATTATGCTAGTATTATTGCAATATCTGCATGAAATTTGACTCGGATATATTGGAGAGTAAAGAAATAAAGAATATGATGTAATGAAAATTGAATAATTTGGAGAATAAATAATATGATATGAAGAACATTATGGAATAATGTGAAGAATGAAAATGATTGTTATTTGAGGAAAATATCTTTTATTGATTGATGGGATAAGCGTGAAGTTTTACAAAAAGTCCAACATATATTTTTTTAGATGCTAATACAAATTATTTTTGGGCATTACTTTGGATTGACCCTAAAAACTTTGGGGAGGTCCTCGGCTGTCCAATTGTCGAGCTTTTCAATAGGTAAGCACGGACGGATTCCAGCTAGAAACTTCCTGGGTTGGTTGCCCCCAGAAATCATATTGATTGACAGTCCTTTCAGAGCTTCGCATGTCATCTCGGTTTCGATGGTGCTAGTTAGCTGTTGTTCTGCGTTGTACACTACTCCAAATTTGAAAGATCTCTTCAGGGGAGGAAATGACATGCGTTCTCCCGAGACATCCTCTCCTCTCAGTTTGGCCTTTCTCGCCTCATTCTTTTGCTTCATTTCTTGACCCCGCTACTGGAAGGTGGGCTTAAATCCGAGCCCGAAACGGTCCTTCTTCCACTCAAAAATTATGGGTCGTACTTGCCCCTGCAGCTCTTTTCCAAGTCCTTTACTGATCTTGCTCTTCTTCCTAGGTTTGTCTCACTGTCATCTTAGTACAATTTGACAGTGCAGGTCGTGGAATTCTACTACCTTCAGCCACATAAGTTGCATTGATGAATTCAAAAGCCTTGAATGAGCACTCCAAGGTGTCCTCATTGATGTTGATATACGGGGTCTCAACGTTACAGAAGCTATGATTTCTTGTTCAGCCCCAATATTGACAATCTTCCATCAATTACAAACTTCAGCTTTTGATGCAGGGATGAAGGAACTGCCCCTGCCGCATGGATCCAAGGTCTCCCTAACAAACAGTTGTATGTCGGGTGGATATCCATTATCTCAAAATCAATATTGTAAATAGCAGGCCCGATCATTAAGGGTATTTTCATCTTTCCCATCACGTCCTTTTGGTTTCGTCAAATGCCCTGACAATGTTATGATATGCTCTCATGTGTGAGATATCAATGGGCATCCTTTGCAGTGTAGCTAAGGGCATTACATTCAGTGCCGACCCATTATCTATAAGAGCCCTGGCAGGACATGACTGTGGCAGTGCACAGTGATGTTTAAAGCCTTAATGGATCCCATTCCTCCTTCCGGGATCTCATCATCAGTGAAGGTAATATAGTTGTCAGTAGTTATGTGACCCACAATTCGGTCCACTCAATCCACTGGCAGCAGCTAATACGATAGCTTCCCTGCATTGCCCACCACTACTTGCTTTTATTAATGAATAATGCAATAAAGTTAAGAAGGATGGTGACTTTTCACATGCAAATATAGATTTATATATTAACAAATGCACATAATAAAAAAGGAAAAAAAGACACTTGTTATATATATATATTATATTTATAATGGAATGTATATGCACATATATAAACTGTAAGACCTAAACAAAATAAAACAGTAAGTAAGTTGCATATATAAAACATAAGGGAAATTAAATTTTAGAATTTTAAAGATTAAAGTACCAAAATAAAACAATACAAAGTTGATATGCCGAATTCAAAATGAAAATAGGAAATTAGTAAATAAATGGCAAAGATAAGGGGACCTAATGGAGATTTACCCTAACACTTAACTAAAACTTGAAACATGTTAAAAATGGATGACCTGACACGCTGTTTACCCAAAATCAAAACAAAATGTTATTTTGTGTTCTGCCCGAAAATAATTCAACTTCAACCAGCTCTCTCTTCTTTGCTTCACCTCCCATAGCAGCCATTCAACAAAGGGGCAACAATCACCTAATCACCGAGCCACATCGCCCCACTCTCCTTCCAACGACGCTGCCGAGAGTCTTTTCCGACGAAGACTCCGACGACAGTAAACTCGCTATTCCCCTGTTTTTCTTTTTATTCTTCTGTTTTGATAAAAGAAACCCCAAATATAAACTAAATCCTAATACTATCACACAAGCCTCGATTACATTCCTATACCTTAATTATTTCAAATACGCGTGCACACACATAACAATGTAAAAACGAAAAGAAAAGCGTGAAAATGAAAAATAGAAAATACCCTTCAAAAGCTAAAAAAAACTGGTGTTCCTCGATTTCAATTGCTAGTCCATTTTACAGCTATTTGTTGCTGAATTTTCTAATATCACAATTACAAGAAATTTCCTTTTGATATTTTCCTTGCGTTCTGATGATTTTTTTCTTGCCTTTCGAATGGTTGCTGATAAAACCCCTCCTCTTTTTTCATACATTTCGTTTGGCGTTTTATAGCTAAAAATTACCAATGTTTCCTGCGCAAATTTCTGCAGGAAACAAGGACTGATGGGAGCAGGTGTAGTGGGTGAGCTGCTTTAATTCTTGCGAGAAACACGGGATTGTGGGGGGTTGGTGTTGAAATAAGGGTGCTTACACAAGTATCAGTCAAAAGAGCCTCGCCCCATAAATAAGTAGGAACATTAGAAGAAAACAACAAAGCCCTAGTGACTTCTAACAAATGTCTATTCTTTCTTTCTACTACCCATTTTGTTGAGGAGTACAACAAATGAACTAATTTGAACAATATCTTTCTTGGGAAATAAACATTTAAAGTTTTAGCGAAGTATTATATTCTATTATCAGATTGAAGTATTTGAATTTGACTTTTAAATTGGTTTTCGATCATATTGTAATTTTTTAAAAATCTATTTAGTTTTAGACTTCTCTTTCATTAAATAAGTCCAAATAGTATGATAATCAATAAAAGTAATGAACCAATGACAACTATTAATATTCTTTATCTTACGACCCCAAATGTCTCTGTGGATTAGAGAAAATGTTTTAGAGGGTTTATAAGGAGATGGACAATATGAAAATTTAGCGTGCTTGGCTAGTTGGCATATAGAGCACCGGAAAGATTGAGGTTTTTTATTAATGAATAAAACTGGAAACAGTTCTTCCAAATAATAAAAACTAGGACGGCCTAACTTAGTATGCTAGAGCATCACATCATCATATTATCGGAATTCAGAAAGAAAAAAAAAGGAAAAACCATTGGAAATAGTTGTGCAGGAAAGAATATGCGGAGTATGATAGTCTAGCATTGCCAATCATCTTCCCTGAGTCCATTGCCTGCAATACAAAAGTGTCATCAGTAAACTTAGTAATACAGCTCAAATCTCTAGCTAATTTACGGACTGAAAGAATATTGCAAGTTAAATTTGGGACATAAATCACATCATGTAAAACTAAATCCTTATTGAGAACCAAGGATTCAAATAGCGGTCGCGTCGCGATTACGGACATAGCGGGGATTGAGGGTATCAGGGTTATATAGCGGGCGCTATCACGGTCGCGGATCGCTATTTAAATCCCTGTTGAGAACAACTAAACCACTTCCTGTAATAGTTGAGAAAGAACCATCTGTTGTTCGAATAGAAGATCGACGAGATGAATTTTTAAACTCACAAATCAGGTCTTTGCTACCAGACATGTGATCAGAGGCGCCAGAATCGATGATCCATGCTGGTTGATTGTTTTCAGTGAGTAGAGCAGTAGAAAAAGAAATACCTTCTGGAGAATCATGAGCTCTCAAAGCAAGATTGGAGGTGCCTGTCCCACTAAGTTGTCTAAACAGCTTTTGTAAATCCTCAACTTGATTTTTGGTAAAGCTACTAATATTATCAATAGATATAAGATTTGACTGAGGCTCTTTGGAAAATCTGCTGGAGGAACTACTGGTTTGCCATGAAGCTTCAACAGGGGTCTCAAAGGTGCCCTATTTTCTTACTATAACCACGCCAATGCTTTCCCTTCTTTTTCGGGTTGTAGAGGAAGAAGGAGTGAGCAGGGTTGAGGCATCAACTGGAGCTAAATCATTTACCTACTCTCTTCGCATCTAACCTCTGAAAACACTTCTCTAATTGAGAGAAGGGGTTTGGTACCAAGAATCCGTCCACGAACTGCATCTAACTCATTGGTTAAGCCATTGAAAAATTAAAAAACTCTCTTTTGGGCCATGATCCGCTTGTAAAGGGTTGCATCATTTGGAATTTCCCAACCATTGGCATCATACCGGTCAATTTGTTGTCAGTACTGAGTCATGGTTTTATAATAGAGAGTAACACTCATCCTTTTTGTTTAAGATTCAATGATTTGCTTTCAATCCCAACAATTCAGATATATCATCTGAACTAGAATAGGTTTCTTTAACAACACACCAAATTTCACGTGTTGTTGCATATAAAAAAAAATTCTCTCCCACGGCAGGTGCCATTGCGTTTATCAACCAGGACATTATTAGTCCATTTTCTTATACCCATGTTTCATATACTGGAGCTGTGCTGGCAGGTTTTGTGATCTCCCCCGAGATGTACTTCGGCTTACCTTGTCCAGTGATAAAAGGGATCACGAATTGGGACCATTGAAGATAATTGTGTCCTGGTAGTTTATTGCAAGTGACTGGAATTTAATGATTCAGAAAGTTCATCAGAACCAGAATTAGGTTCTGTGACAGAATTGATGTGAGAAGAAGATGAATTAGTCATCATGCTAGGTTTTGAATTCGAAACCTAATCTGATGAAAAAACAGAGTGGTTTCCTTTTTTATATTTTTACTCCAAAAATCTACGAGTCTTTAAATAGACTCCGGTACAGAGAGTTTTACTCTTAAAAGGAATCCTATAACTATACAATCTTAACCTTTTAACTAAGGATAAGGATAATTTAAACTAATTAGATTAATCTATAGGAAATAACAAACTCTAACAACCTTATTTACGACTCATATTTTATCCCATTGTATTCTTGTTGCAGCTCCACTCTGTAACTGGTGTGGCGCCTGGAAAGGAGATAAGTTCTGCTGTAGTTGCAAAGTTACACGATATTGCTCACAAAAGCACCAGGTATTTACGGATGTCAAATTATATTTATTTTCACTTGTCAGATTTCTGTTTACCTACCTTTTCTGTTTTCTTACATTTCAGGTCATGCACTGGCACTCAGGTCATAAACTTGAATGTCAACAGCTGAGTGTTTCACATCAGTCATCTGATTCCAATGGCCGTCATGGTGGAATTGCACAAATTAAAGCCCAAACAGGCAAGTATTAATTGATATTACCCCTGGGATATTGACTAGGAATCAGCTATGCACATAAATTGGCAATTGGCATGTTAATGGCCTTTCTGGGATAACTTTTAAGAATGAACATGTATTTGAACTGCACAGTCAATACAAATTTTAGTCAAGGGTATTTCTGGATTCTCTGACTAAAATTTTGCATTTTAAACAGCTGCGAGCAAGAGTTTATGGACAGAGTATGAGATTCAAAACGAACACGAAAGTGAATATGACACAGAGATGTCTGGAGACGAGGGACATGCCAATAATTCATTGATACCCAGGAACAGGGATGATGAGACAATGAAGTCACTTATGGATAATTTCGAGGTATTGATCCCTGTACTGTTGGCTGGTGCAGTGGCATGTCTATGAATTATTGTTTCAAGTCTCTTAATGCTTGCTTCCTTTGTTGCAAAGGGAGATGGTGACAAAAAGAGTTGGGCTTCCTTCCAACCAGGGATTCAAATAGCGGAAACTATAGCGGCCGTTATTTCATGGTCGTGCCACCGTCCGAAACTGATATTGAGGAACTTCGTGGTGGGTAACCGATTCACGTTGGTAGCAGTCTGTCGCGCCCGCAATTTAGCGGGTAACGGTGTATAGCGCCACCTTCCGAAACTGATATTGAGGAATTTCTAGGAGTGCTGGTTCTAATCCACTGTGGCCCATCTTAGGTGGTCGACCTTCCAATGTTGATATTCCCTTATGCAACTATTGTGGTGGTCGCCTATGTTTCGAATTTCAGGTACTTGGTAATCTTACCCTCATGGAAGCCAATTATCTATCATCAAGTTTAAAGGCGAGAAAAAAATATCAATACTCCACTACAATCCTTGGTGGATTTTTTTGGGTTGATTTTAGAATGTTAATTCCTCCTTAAGATCTCTATGCTCGCTGGAGAAAGGAAATTTCTAATGCAAGTTCTTTGCATATTTGTTGTTCAGATATTGCCTCAGTTGCTTTATTACTTTGATGTGAAGAATGATGCTGGTTCTCTTGACTGGGCAACGATCGTGGTATATACATGTGAAGCCTCTTGTGAAGGTGTAGGTTACAAACAGGAATTTGCCTGGGTACAACTTAGTACTACTAATTGCCCTTCATGGTGTGTTTTTTTTTTTTAATGAACATGTTTGAGGGAAAAGTTGTTTCTGGTTTCTTATAATGACAAATTTTGGGATTGTTGCTTGAAATTTAGCTTAGTGAAGGAGAATTATTATTTTTTATCTTAGGATGGGTAAACTTGGGTTTTTATCATACAATGATATCCCTTTATGATAGAAACAATATTGTTTGGTTCCTTTTTATTTGGATACTGATGACGTGAGAAATGGGGTTGTGGTGGTGTTTGCCGATTCATCCCTTCTGGTTTGGGTAGAGCTGTAAACGATGGTTATGTATAGGAGATAGACGGTAGATGAGCATAAGGAGATGATGAACTGTGAGAGAAGCTTCTATAGAAATAGAGAGAGTCATTCCAGTCTTCTATGGTGGTTTATACAGATCATTAGTGTTGGTGTCAGGTCTAGGATGATGATAATTATTATAGGTTGGCAGGGAGAATAGAATTGATTGTCTAATAGATCACGTGGATGTGTCACTGATCATGTCAATGGATCATAATTGATCAGAGGATATGGAGTTCTGAAAATTTCGAGGAATTACATCACAAGTGTGATTTGCAAAAGAGATCTAAAGGAGGTACAACAGATATTAGAGGATGTATTTAATATGAAACGGTAATATCTTTAACATACCTTTGTGAGCACTCTATGGCATGGCATTTGCTGGTGTATTGAACTTTAAGACAAGCTCAAGCTCAGGACAAAACATTTTATGGATGTGCAAGGAACAGGTATGCCATCTACTTATGATTAAGAACATAAACCTGGTACTCTGTAGCATTTGGAGCACAAATAACTTTGTTCAGAAGATTTTCTTCAAATAGGGAAATATAAGTGTCCTGGTCCATGAAACCAATATTTGAAGATATACACAGTACTGGAGAACATAATCTGTATTTTCCTGAACCCACGAGACCATCAGGTGGAAAATGAGGTGGCCATAGTATGACTACCGGCCATGACTCTTATAGATCTTTTATGCTCTCCTTTAGTTAAATCTGTTTTACTTTATGCTTATTACTTATTTATGCATGATGTGAATATTTTTTTAAAATAAAAAATAAATTATAAGTATAAAGTCACTTTTTAAGTATCGTAGTAATATGCCACGATATTTATTTATGGTTTAAATTCTTTGAAGTATATCAAGATTAAAATGAGTAAAATTTATTATATATATGATTTAGGTGAGGGTTGTTTTTGTCCTTGAAGTAGATATAATTTATCGTTTTCGCTTCTATGATATTTTCGCATCAATATAACATTTAAAGTTGTTTAATTGCATCAATGTTTAGGTTTAAGGTTTAAGATTTAGGGTTTAGAGTTTATAATATACAATTAAACAATTTCGAGGGTTAAATTGATATGAAAATATCATAGGGACGAAATGATAAATTAGATCTATTATAGTGACAAAAGTAGTGTCCTTAAACCTAGATTTTAAAAATGAATAACTAAAAATTATCTATGTAGAATTTATATTTTGATATAACAAATAAGGGTAAAATATTAGTTGGACTAAATTGAATTTATTCAAAATTTTCAAAAATAATTCAAAATCCAACTAAATTTAAAAGATATGTGTTCAATGTTTCTAAACTTTATCAAAACTTTAAAATGAGTTTTAAGTTCAAATTATATTAAAAATATCTTTCAAATACTTTAGAATGTTTTTCAAAGTCTTGTATTTCTCAAAATGTCATAAATTATCTTTTTGAACAAGTTTTGACCAGAAGTTTCGAAACTTTTACAAGAGTTTCGAAACTTTCCAAGATAGTAGTCCAAAAAGTTTTGATAATTTTCAAGAGTTTCGAAACTATTTCAACAGTTTTGAAACTTTCCCTAAAGTTTCGATACTTTGGCTCCAACGGTCATATTTTTTCCAACGGCTCTTTCGAAGAGTTTCAAAACTTTCTCTAGAGTTTCAAAACTTTGTGTACAAGACGTTTTCCAACGGTTCCAAACCTTCCCAAAAAGTTAGAAACAGTCAGTAACTCATTCCAACATATAAAAACAAGTTCAAGACACTTGAAGAAAGTGAACAACACCTACCCAAGCAATCAAACACAAGAGAAGAGTTATTTAATCTATTTTTCTTTCTCTTGTAAATATTAGTGTTTTAGTGAGCTTAAACTTTGTAAACATCTACCATGTAAGAGTTTTCTTGTTTAAATCTCTTGTCCTTGTAAGGGTTTTAGTTTACCCAAGTGAAAAACTAGTGAGTTGTAAATGTAACTCTTGATCATTGAAAAAGAAAGAACAAATTAGTGTATTTGTTGAAAAATCATAAGTGAGGAGCTTAGGTAGTGAATGTAGACTTAGTTGATAAGTCGAACCACTATAAATCATTGTACAAATTTCCCTATCTTTATACTCCCTACTCCCTAAACTTTAAATTGACAATTCACCCCGTCTTAGCACATTTTCAGTTGATCAATCGAGCTTCATCGAACCCAACAATCTATAATAATATTAATATTTCATGTTAATACATGAGATGTGTTTTATATTAATATGTTATTTTTAATTGTTTTAAATAATCATATAGTATTATTTGTCTATGTCTCTATGATAAGATATACATACTTTGCAAATATAACTGGTCGAAATTAAATTTTTAAAGAAAAACATTTTTTTAGTATTAAAATCTGTCAATGAAATTATTAAAAAAAATCTGTCAATGAATTTTTTTATAATAGATAAATTAAAATGAATTTTTTGATGGATACTTTAACTTAATTGATTTCTATTGATATATTATATTATTGATAAAAAATTAAATAAATATAATATAATTAAATATTTAAAAAGTGATTTTACAAGATTATTTGAATTTTAAGATAAATTCTTAAGATTAATATAAATTATATTTATTAATAATTAAAATAGTAAAATAAATAATTAAAATTAAGTATATTAACGTTTTTTACTACTAAAATGTATTAACATTTAAAAGAGAAAATTGAATTTAAAGAATTAACTTTATAAAGAATTTGTATAATAGTAGATTTAGATTAATTAATTGATAAATTATATATCAATAATCATATACGTACATATTAACATTTAAAAGAAAAATTGAATTTAAAGAATTAACTTTATAAAGAATTTGTATAATAGGAGATTTAGATTAATTAATTTATAAATTATATATAAATAATCATTTATATATATATATCCGACCCGATTTACTAAACCTCTACCTAGGACCAAGCCGATCACCAACTCTAAACTCCCCCCCCCCCCACCAACTTTGCCCGAAGTCGAAAATCTAACCTTTGCATCATATAAATTTGTTGGCTTTCTTTCCATCTTTTCTTTCATTCCAAAAACCCAAAATCACAGACCAAGAAGAAAGATCGATTTTTTGGTGTTAGAAAACTCAAATGGTTGTTTGCCAAGCTTCAAAGATCGATCTCCCAACTCCCTTCTCCTCACCTTCTTCTTCTAAAGCTCCGATATCTCTCCTTTTTGAACCCCATTCTTTTTCCCTTGCCCTTCTACACTCTGATTCTTCTCTTTCCCTTTTTCCTTCTATTTCTTTCCCTTTCTCTTCCAACAAAAACTCCCTTACCGTTCCTTCTCCTTCATCGTCCTACAGTTTCCTTCTCCAAAAAACCCAAAAAAATCCTGACCCCAGAGTCCTTTTCATCGTCGCAGGTCCTTATAAAGGTGGTTCCAGGGTTCTCCTTAGGTTTTTTCTTTATAAGAATGATGGTAGGAAGGCTTTTGAGAAGGCTAAAGTTGTTGTTCCCAAGCAAAAGGGTATTGAGTTTGATGATAAAGTTGGGGTTTTGATTGATGTCAGTCACGGTTTGAAACTCATTATTTCTGGGTCTGTTAATTTCTTCGCACTGTATTCAGTCTCAAGCTCCAAAGTTTTGATCTTTGGGGTCAAATTGGTGGATAATATAGATGAAATTGTTGACGGGGTCGCTTTTAAGCTCATGAAATTTGCTGTGATTGATTGTTTGAAGCCTGTTTTTTCAATCGGTATTTCATTTGAGCGGTTGGTTTTAGGGGAGGAAAATGGGGTCAAAGTTTGGAATTTAAGAGAATTGGTGAAAGGGAAAAAGGTCAAGAAAGTGAAGAATTACGGTCTTTCAGATGGTGTAATTGGAGCTAACAATGGTAGATCTAGTTGTTCAGATATTGTTCCTAATAGCTATTTGGATGGAAAGATTGAAAACCCTACTGTTTCAGGTAAGTTCTGTCTGTGAGCTTTACTTTTCTTGCTTATGAATTGGTTTTCTGAAAGATACAATGGATTATGTAGTTTATTGTATAATTGTTGGGAATTTTACTTGCAACAAGGCTCAATTGATTTAGAATAGTGGCATCCTTATATTAAACTCCTTAGAGTTTATTACCATATTTTTAATGCATTTTATGTTGAAGTTCATCGGGATGCATGGTCTTTAGAAGAAGGAACTTTGAATGCTAAGTAGATCAATGCTTCGTTTGGGATGGCATCCAGAGATAGTTTACAGGAGATAGAGGAGGGTCTGGACTCTGAAGAGTGCTTGGTGTAAAAACATTTCTGAGTTACAATCTTATAAGAAGAAGTTTAAATACCTGATAATGCAGGGGGAATTCACCAATTAATATAATTAAAAATCGGCACATGTCAACACTATCTGCTGTCGATTTCCTGTACATGAGTTAGATTATTAGTTAAAGGAGCATATCCAATTTTAGGATTCTAGCTTGAGCCTTATCAAACAAAAAATAAATATTGGTTAATTGATTGGGGATTTAACGGGACCTTATAAATTTGAGTAATAAGTTCTATTTGTCTTGAATCTTCTGGTGATAAAATTTGGCAGGACAGTGTAACTTCACTTAATTGGCTTTACTCGGAAATCCTTTGCATAGGCTCATACTACATCTGCTGAAATATGTGTAATTCATTATTTTCCCTAACAATTTGCTTTTGTATCTATTTAACTAAGCAGTTGTTGACCATTGTACGAAATATGCTGTCATTTGGTTCAAATCTTAATGATGTGTCGAGATGGTCAATTAGTGATTTAATTACATATAAAGTATGCTTGATTAAGAGCTCTCATATATGTTTGCTTTTGTTTAAGTCACTAGTAGGTGTGATAACTACACTGTTCACTGTATTTATAGTAGGTTACTATAAAGATTAATATACAACACTTCCACATTCTAAGTACTTGGCTAATAATTTTTTCTTTTTCTCTATAAATATATATATATATATATATATATCTATATTTAAAGTACTGAGAAAGTTGACATTGAGGTTGGTTCCCTTTTTCCTTTGATTGGCATTTTGATTTACAGTGAACCCAAGGTCTGGTAAACACAGACAAGGATTGGTCGAATCAGGAGTGTTATTTGTGCCATTTGAGCAGGAGGTTAAGGGCTTGACATCTATGAAAGTGCCATCTATGTCCTTGAAGGCAATTTCAATTCAACCATTGTCCTCGACGAGGTTCTTGGTCTTGGATACTTCTGGAGATTTGTTTGTCTTGGATGTAACAGACACAGCTCTTGGATCAAATGTCACCAGCTACATGAGGCGATTGCCACATGTTATGAAGGTGCATAAAATGGCTGTTTTTCCTGATGTTTCCTCAAGTAAGCTTCTCTACTTCATTTTTAATCTTTCCAAAGGCTTCATTGGTTAGAAATGCTTGCATGGTCCACAAAGGCATGTGACTAAGAATTATTGCATGCGGGACTATTCTGGATACCTAGGAAATGATTAGATGGTGGAGCCTTTCCCTTGTTCTTTGCTAAATGCTACTGCGAGATTGGGTTGAAACTTAGAAGTAAAATGCTATGATAAACAACTCATATTAATGAAAAGGAATAGAAAAATAAAATGGGTCAGTAAAAAGTTCTGTGGAACTTTGTTAACGTTATGACATTTGACCGTAGCTTTATTGGGGAAATGTTTTATGGTCGATCTTTATATCACATCTATGCCACTAAATGATACTTTTTCTAATTTCGTAGGAAGGCAGACTGTTTGGATATCAGATGGGCATCATTCCATGCACGTGGTGGACATTAGCTCTGCTGTGAATGAAACTGATAAAAGAGAGAGTGAGGAATCCACCAATATGAATCTCAAGTTTATAAATCCTCTGCTTTCATTAATTTAATTTTTCATTTGTACGGTCTACATTTATCTATATTGGGAGAATACTTTCATGTTCTCTAACATAGTTTGGCTTCCTTTATGGTGCGGGCCTTACAGTTTTTATTCTTGCTTGTGATAGTTTAGAGATCTTCAGAACTTAATTCATCAATCACTTTATTACTGATATATATATGTGTGCGTGTGTGATTGATGTGTTCTCATTGTCCTTTACATGGTGTGATAAAATTTAATTTTAGAGGTTTTTTTCTCCTAACATTTAGGAGAGACGGTTTACTATTTTTCTTGTTTTATTTGCAAGTTGTTCAAGCAATTTTTACTAGCGAAAAGATCCAAGATATGATACCTATGGCTGCAAACAGTATTTTGATCCTTGGACAAGGTAACCCCTTGTTTCTTCTTTCAAGGATATTCTATCCTATGTTACTTGGATTTGGGTGCGATGATACAATTATTTGTCTGGCATGGTATGGTTAATTTTTTTCCCCATTTATTTGGAGGATCATTAGAGGTATTTGTCAAACAAGAACATTGGAAACGGATACTTCACGAAAATAGTTGGAGGAACATATATTCTATCTGTGAAAAATTCTCCTTGAAATTAGAAATTAACTGGAAGTGTTGGCCTATATAATCTCTGTCATATTTTCAACGAACAACTATAAAGTTAATTGAATGTGCAAGACATCTCATCAATATACGATGAATTGGTCTTGGGGCTACATATGTGATTGCATATAAGCATAATTACATATACAGTTATGCTTACTCATATATGCCCCACACTCTTTCCCCCTTTCCTTTTTCACTTTGATCCCAGTTTAGCATGAACATGTTTTTGCTCTTTGCATAATTCAGTTTTCAAAGTTCTTGAATTTACCTACCTATACTGAACAGGAAGCTTGTATGCATATACAGTCTCCTGAAGTGGTTGGCAACCATATCTTTTTGTGCGGTGAGTGTCTTGCTTTCTTTGGTACAAGATAATTTTGAAGTTGGATGCCCTTCTACTGATTTCATTGATTCTTTTTGTAGGTAATTTCTGTTCCTGGTTGTGTTTTGGTGATTTTATACCCTCGATTTGTTCCCAGACCGAGTTTTTAGTGAGTACGTGTAACTCTTTTTCAAACTGTTTATTAATCGGTTCTGGATTGCCATTCCCTGAAATTTAGTTGGCTGTCTCACATCTGCAGAACAAAGGAGTCTAAAGTCATGATCTGCAGTTGTCTCGTGTCTAATGGTGCATAAGACTTCGAGGACATCGACCTCTTGAAGGTATGTATAATAACATGAAGTTAAAGTTTATCATAATAAATATTGGGTAATTTAACATATGAAATTATGTAGGCCAGAAATATTTTTGATTGTGTTCCTACTTGTTATTTATGGTAGGTTTGGAACTTGTGTCCAACGCATATTCGATTAGGATAATAAGACCGTCCAGTTATATGGACAACTTAAAAAGAATTGAATATACCCATGTTGGACACATCTGCATCGGATATTTACACTCGAGTCCAAGTAACATAAGTTGAAAGTTGGAACTATGGTTGGGTTTCAAGAACCAATTAGGTTCGAATTGGTCGAGTCTAATCCCATTCAGTTTGTGAAACTGAAATATTTTTATAAACTCTAGATAGCGAGAATCTTATTGCATGCATAGCCAATTGAGGGGGTTTGATTGTGAAAGTATGGCTTACGGTTGAAAATTCTTTTGCTTTATCAAGCTATAATTTACGTTTCTGTAACATACAGAATCAATTCGGATGCTGAGGGGGTCACATCTTGGTAACTACTGCAAACACCATTTACATCAAAGCCTCAACTGAAGCTATTTGGTCGTTGCATCGGTCCATTTCATCTTTGCCACCATGCAATTAATTACACCTTATGTTGTTGAGAAGCTGAGGTGACAAAAGGATGGCAGCTAGTGTGTATGATCCTTTATCAAACTCCATTGTTGTGTTTCTTTTAAAGGTCAGTCACTGCGTCAACATCTGAGCATTGAAATTTGAAGGGGCGATTTTCTAATTCATGTTCATGTTTAAGTTGTTTTACATTTATATAATTTTTAACAAAGTTAATTTGAGTGAAATTCTTCATTTTTCGAATTGAGTTAACTGAAAGTTGCAACCAAAACGAGAATGATGAAGAATCCAACTAGTGTCACTTGATAACAAAATATGATGAGGTTGAGGTTAAGGATGAGTTGATCCAACATATACACGTGGTTATATAACATTTTTGGAAAGATAATCTGGCATTTTCAAAGATGAAACGAAAGGGAGAAAGAAACTGGTGGGAGAGATAACCTCTCCCTGTGAAACCTACATTACAAACACAAAACCTACGCCCCCACTTATTAACATCCGCTTACCTTCTAGTTTTTCTTCTTTGTGATGGATGACAACCACATGCTCATGCACATTCACGTGTATCACAGGCCATCAATTTTTGTATGTAGCTCAACAAATTGCAAATCCTCGATTCCTCATAGAGTGGTTGCCCTCCGCTCGCGGTTCCGACGTTTTCTTTTTATTCATCGTCAAGGACCAGGATTCTAATTGTCCCGTCATTTTATCTTTTCTTAATTTTATAGTATACTCATTAATATAAATGAATATTTCAAACACGATCTATTATTATTTTTTAATCATCAATATTTGATTTATTTATTGATAGATTCAAATTAAGTATTGCATAGGTCTATTGTATGCAGAGGCGGAGCTCTATTGTATGCAGAGGCGGAGCTCTCTTGTAGCCTAAGGGGCCTCGGCCCTTGTAATTTTTTATGTTCAATAGATTTTGATCTAATAGTATTTTAGTTCATGTAAAAATAAGTATTCAACTTAAAAAACAAGAATTTATTAATTATTCAATCATGTAGGGGCTAAACTAAAAATGATAATCTAATGTTCTAGTTTTTTTGGTTAAACAAATTAGGTCATTGTAAGTTTAAATATTAGACAATTAGACATTATCTTCTGAACTTTAAGTTTAAATACCTAATAAGTCATTATATGTTTCTTAAAAAGTTCAATATTTCGGCCTTTGCCAATTCCTAATTCTAGTTCCGTCCCTGAGTGTATGAATGATCCTCCTAATTTAATGTTCTCTATTCACAAACATCAGAATTCAAGTTTTTAACTTTATTTAAGAGATCTAACATCGCATCTCATTAAATCAATTCGCAATCGGTAAAGATGAACAATCATTAAATATATTGATGGTCATTATTTTATAAACAATGTTATTTTTTTTTCTTTCTCATAAACAAAAGAGTTCCTTGCTGTGAAAGAAGAGTGAAAGGGAGAAAAATCTCAAACAACAAATTAATTGTCGGTTTATATTTGTTATTTGCAGAAAAATCTGTAATGTTAGATTATGATATGATTATATTAAATGAATATAATATGAAAAATAATTAATATTCTTTTGAATAATTGTGGGGATTACAAGTTAGTATTTGTTCAAAATTCTTTTAATCTATTGACAATGCACATACACTCTACAGACACAATTACTTAAACCCATGATCTTAAAGAAAAATAACATTTCCTTTTATCATTGAAACTATACGATAAATTCAAATAATTAATATTTAAACACATACGAAATATAAATAGATTGGCTAAGTCTATATGAAAAAAATGAAAATATTGTTGTCACCAGATTGAATGACTTTTCATGTTCAAGAGGGAAAATGTGGTGGTGAAGAACACTATAGCTGAAGCTAAAATCAACATCAAAATCTGAGTTATACTGAACAATTTCATCTATATATGGAATGCATACATGTGTTGAACACCATTAACGATGAGCATCGTTGAGCACCATTGATTTAATTTATAAAAAATTAAAATTCTAAAATACTCAACGTATAATTATAAATTAGTTAAAAATTTAAAAGTAAACTATTTAAAAATAAATTATTAATTACATTATTTTCAATAATCTTTTTAATAATAATTGGATCAAATACCAACCCCTAAATTAAAAACCCTAAATATTTTTTCCTTGCCATTGAAGTAGTCACCATCATTAACTTCTTTCGTGGGCAAGATAGTCACCATCGTTCCTCCTCCCTGTGTGGCCATCGTTCTTTGCCGTTCGCACAACCAATCTGGTAAGGTAAGTTTTCTTTATTTTTATTTTATTCCAAACATGGGCTGCCATCTAAGCTATCACATGCGGATGCTGACTCATCGATTGCCAGCGCTTTCATCGGCAATAGACGCGACTGACTGTGTATGGCAGTCGCCATCGAATTTAATCTTCTTATAATCCCTTAATTCCCAAACCCTAACCTCAACCTTAACCCTAATTATCTAATTAGGCCAAAATATAGATCCTTAATTCCCAAATTGAGTACCTTAATTACCAAATTAGAATCAAAATTATATATATATATATATATATTATAATTTCAAAACTATACATGTCATGTATTTTCAAAACCATGTTATATATATTGGAAGCATATGACATAATTATTTAACGATCCCAAACGAAAATGAGTCTCTACAGCCTTTATTCTTTGTCTATTGTTGTGTAACGACAATAGGGCAAAGAAAAAAACACAAATTTTTGTTCGATTCTTAGAGAAAACGAATTCTAAAAGCATGCTTGCTCTTTTGATGCTGAGTCATGTAGCTTTTCTTCGAGAGTTAGATTAAACTCTTGCTGAACTGTAATTTCTTCGAACTTGATATCCTTCATTGCGAAGTTATAGTCCGAGTCAAAGTTGTAGATGACCATTCTTCAAGCCGGATATCCTTTGTCATGGAGTTGAAATATGACTGGAAAAGGTTGACTGAAAATGGCTCATTGCCACTAAATTAAGCCAAAATGCAGTCGATTCTAAATTGACTTTCAAACCCAATATCCTCCGTCATGGAGTTAAAATTGACTTCAAAAATTTTGACAAAAAAATGGCTCATCACCACTAAACTAAACAAAATACAATCGATATGCTCTTTGAATTTGAAAGATTTGGTTGAAAAATAGATTTTATATTTAAGCTATGTTGTAGATGATTCCTCTTTGTGGTTCTAAGTCGAGTGAAAAGATCTTAGGATTACTCCCCTTTGTAGGTTTAAATCGTTCTTAATTCTTCAGATGACTCGCCTTCGCAAGTTTAAGCCAGGTGAAGTGTTATTCAGGCCGGACATCCTCCGTCGTGGAGTTGAAATCTGGTTTGAAGATTTTAACTGGAAACTACCTCCTCACTACTGAGTTTAGCTAGATTGCAGTCGATTCTGAATTTGGTTTCAAATTCAATATCCTTCGCCATGGATTTGAAATTGACTTCAAAAATATTAATCGGAAGATAGTTCCTCGCCACTGAGTTAAACTAAAATGTGGTCACTATGCTCTCAAGTTGAGTATCCTTCATCGTGAAGTTGAAACTTAGCTCAAAAGTTTTAACTAGACTAGCTCCTTGTTGTAGAGTTAAGATAGAATGCAGATGAGTCCTCAAATACGAGTTAAGTTGATTTGGAAAAGCTTTTGAACCTAATATCCTTCACTGTGAAGTTGAATTTGGCTTCAAAAAACTCAACTGAAAGATGGCTTCTCATTGTTGAGCTAAGCCAAATTACAATCCATCCTGAGTATGCTCTTGGGTTGAGTATCCTTTATCGTGAATTTGAAAATGAACTCGGAAGCCTTGAATGGAGACTAGTTCCTTACTGTTGAGTTAAACTAGAATGCGATTGATTTGATTGCACTTTTAGATCCAATATCCCCGTTGTGGGGTTTAATTTGGCATTGAAAATATTTTGACTAGAAGCTAGCTCTTCATTGCTGAGTTTAGCCATATTGCAATCGATTCTAAATGGGTTCAAGTACCATTCGCCATGAAATTGAAACTTGACTCTAAAATTGCAAAAATATACGTTTATGTGTAAAATGAATGTGATGTTCTTAGGTATGCCTAAAATGCATGCAAAAATGTATCATTTTTTATGTTTTATTTCTTGGACGGAGTCTCATTCTTCATCCATCGACCTCATCCTTGGAATCAATCTTTCCCCAGAACTGATGACTTTATAGAAAATATTTGATTTTTGCACATTTTCTCACTCAATCCAGTGATCTTTTACTCCTGATCATATGGATTATTTTAGTCCTGAGATTCTTAAACCCTTTCGACCTTGGTTTAGATGGGAGAGTAAGGCTCTCTTACATTTTGATCGGTGATTAACTATTGGAACTTGTTGAATCATTAATATTCCATGAAAGATCCCTTTACATGCCTTGGGAGCTTAAAGTTTACCTTATCCAATGCTTGTAAAATTGTTCTGATTCTCATGGAAGAAGGACCGACAAATAAGAAGGCATGCCACCTTAAAACTATATCGAACACCCTCAATGTTTTTTGTGAATTCACTGACTCCTATCCTCGCAGAGCATTTTGGATTGCTGGCATGAGAATCTTGGTAACAAAGTTTATCTCCACTTTAAATGTCTTTGAATTATACGAGCATCTTGCTCTCTTCCTTTCGTGCTCATTTGGGTCGTCATTATCATAAGAATTTGCATTCTTAAGGCGTGGCCCATACACTGCACCTTACGTTGATGTGGCGCACGTGGGGTAAGGCGCGGTGCATCAGCCACACCTTTGCTATTTAATCTAGAGCGTTCACACTCCCCATCCGCCCGTTCACACTCTTCCTCTCATCCTATAAATACCCCCTCTCAACATTTTCATCACACCAAATCTTATCAAATCCTCTCAAAACCTCTTAAATCTTCTAAAATCATATAAAAAACCAAACCCCAGTCAAATTTGTTTTAGAAGGTAATATATTATATTTTATTATATTTATTTTTTTAGTATTTTATTTAATTATTTAATTATTTAAATTTTTTAGTATTTTATTTTATTTATTTTGTAGTTATAAAATGGAAGGATGTCTGCTTCGTTTGGATGGAAATCATATATCAAGACATTTTGCTAATACTATAGTATTTTTAAATTTTAATTTAATTTAAATTATTCCCACCAAATTGGAACGAACCATTTGAG